AAAACAGTCAGTTAAAGAGCATTGATATTCAACAGCCTGAGGACACAAATCGATTTCTCTACAATAATTGCACTCACCCTCAGGCTTTTTTTGACATTTACTTTCTTGCACTTCTGTACAGAGTTGCAACTCTCTTTCTTTAATGGTCGAGATAAAGGAAGTGACTGACCTCTTGTCCCCAACGGTCCTTCCAGGTGATCCATTTCTTTCCGTCTCTGGAGTAACGGAGACGATAACTGCGGACAAACTCCTGGCCATGCCCATCAGCGTGGCGACCTTGGGTACCAACCAGAGCCAAAAAGTGGAGTTTGTGCAGGTCAATCTACAAGGAATACATCATTAAAACATGTCAAAAAAACAAGTTATTTTTAAAAAGATTTCACAAATGGCATAAAAAGCTAAAATCTATAACCATAACCATTTCCAATTCTTCTTTTTTTCTCCACCTGCCTCTTATTAAGCTCATAGGTAGAACAGCATGCCTAGATTTCCTTGAACAGAGATCCTTTGAATGTTCACCTCACCGAGTTTACTGATTTGTCTGACATCATAAACCAACTGTTTCTCATTTAGGAAGTAGGCAGAGTTGCAATGGATCAGTCAGAGGAATGCTGCCTTAGATTATGCTTTAAAAGCAAAGTGGGTTGCAAGAATTCTGGCTAAGCTGCTTTTTCTGGTGAATAACTTATACAGCTCTTTGCAAAGGTATTCACACATCCTAATCTTTTCCACATTGCCTCATGTTTGTACCATAAAACTCAGTGTCATGTTAGAGGACTTCACGTAACAGAAAAACAAAACACAAAGTGCATAAAATTGTGACGTCGAAGAAAAATAACTCTTGGTACTTTGAAATCTGAAAGCTGGCATGCAGTTACTACTCAGCCCTCATGATTCAATACTTTGTAGAAAACCAGACTCTCTGTACATACAACAGCACATTTTCATTGTATTTTTCATTCATCTTTGTTCTGTAAATGTTTAGACTGAAACTCATTTCTGCAGCTCAAGCAGAGTCACGCTGGATGAGAGCATCAGTGAACTTTAATTTCCAAGTTTCATTAAAGAATCATAATTTAACTTATGTCTGGACTTTGACTAGGCCATTCAGCTGTAGGTTTAGGGATGGTGCTCTCCTGCAAGGTGAACCTCAACCTCCGAGATGTTCATTATGATGATCATTACCTCAGCTGTAATTACTAATTTACTAATGTTCTCAATAAAACTCTTGCTCTTTTAGCTTTGACCTCAAAATTGTATATTACTACAATGGAACAGGTAATAGCACATAATCATAACGACATGAAAAATGAGCCAACCACGGGAAGGAAAAGTGGAGCATAAAAGGCATGTTTTGTTGAAGTCCACTGTTTATACCAGATATAAGCAAACAATCAACTACAGCTAAATTATCCCTCTCTTCAAGTAATCTTGCAGCTACTCACAATGATTGCTAAGGGAGCACCAAACAATTAGTTGGCATTATTATTTGGATTAGGGTTTTACTTATTTTACCTTGTAGCTACACTGGCCTTTGGAGATTTGTAAAGCAAAACCTGCAAAATGACTAAAACACATGGCGGTGGTCCTCCCACTACAACAAGAAACTTTCTGTAGCATAACTTCACTTCAGGGGTGAATTTGTCAAACATTTAAAATAGCAGGAAAGCCAGCTCATAAAATGAAGGTGAAGCTGTTTCCGTCCATTTCGGCAAAGGCATGAAGAAATGGCACACGTCACAGAGTAAGTAATGTTTGCATCCTGTAGTAAAAGCCTGAATGTTTTTAAATGAGATGAGAGATGGAAAAATATAACACCTTGAAAAATCGGCGCAATCAAGCAGTAATGAACAAAATGAAGTGAGGAGGTTCGAAAATGAAGTCAGGAAGCTTTTTAAAGCTAATTAAAATCAAATTAGAGACACATCTGCCAGAAGAGCATGATAACAGTAACCAGCCATGCTTAAGGCTTAAGAAACCAGCACTGCGAAGGATGGCTGTTAGAAACTCTAATCATTAAATAACAGATAACACTTATTGTTATTCTTCCCACAGATAAGCCAGACACACTGAACACTGTCTGTGGAACCAGATCAGAATAAACAGAAAAACTGACCTGGAGGTATTCCGACTCATTGGGGAAGACCGGGGCTGCTGGACACCACGCTCCATCTCCTTCTCCAGTGCTCAGTCTGAAAAAAAAAAATAGATTATTTTATGAATAAAAAAGAAAATTCTCTTTAAACCCTGACCCATTAAATAACAAACTACATCTAAATCCCATGGTTTTGAAACATGGAGAGGTACACGGAAAAAGTAGAACCTCCGAAGGAGAAGATCTGGTACTGACTGTCAGGACCAGATCTTTATAGAAAGCGCGTACTCTGACCACACACATGCATCAAACATTCTCTCTGACTGTGAACCCTCTCTCAATCCACCCCGAGAAAAGGAGCTTTTTTACCAGCACCACATATTGGCCACAAGTAGACCACAACCTTGGCCATGAAGCTGTGAGGTTTGAGTAACTTGGGCTGGGAGCCTTTTGGAACAAACTACCAGGCCACAACCACGCTCTGACCGCTTTGAAAACAAAAGCTGCTGCTCTGACCACTAAAACAAATCACAAGATCAACTCGGTTAAACTGACGGTGACGTTTGGATTCAAAAATCAGCCCCCCCCCCCCCCCCCCACCCCCTTCTGCCTGTTCGTGGGGTGAGCTCATATAGCTGGGAGCCACAGGACTAAATCAACACATTAGCGTTCCACCAAGAGCCCTGTGACAGAGGAGCGAGAAAGACAGCCAGGCTGTTTGGACCAGAATGTACCAGCCTTCCTGATTGACATTGCAGAGCCCTGTTTATTAAATATCATCAACAAATACAGCATTTTTCCATTTTTTTCCCCCCACTTCATCATATCCAATATGCTATTTTTTTTCTTTCTGGGAAATAGAAATACGGTCCATTAAACCTTGCTTTCAAGCTGATTCATCCCAGTTTATAGCACAGCACTGCAGCAATGCACCTTTCACTCGTTTTCTGTTTTACTTTATGTTCGCTGTTCAGCCTGTTTTCTCTCTCAGGGTCTCCCTAATGTGCCTTAAAAACAGCTTGAGCTAACAATCACTTCCACATGGTTAGACAGCGGGCCAACAGACCCAGCCCAACAGACCCGGCAGAGACGAACAAGCACATGATCCAACAAAAGCTCCAACACGTGGCTGTTGCGTGTTGCAGGTTTAACTGGGCTCTCGCCGATCCGTGTAGACGAGGTGGTAACACAATTAGCAAATGGGTTACATGAAGGCACACACAATCATCTCCTGCAGTAATTTAATAGACTTCAGAAACATTACTTTACTCTAGTGCCAGCAGACTGAAAGGAAACTCTACAGACAAACAAATTAGTTTAAAGAAGAGCTTGATTTCCAGTTTTGAAGCAAACAGCTACAACACATGCATAATTATAAGATAAATCCTATTCCTCATTCAATTATTTATGAAGGACTACAATCAGTCAGCCTACATGTCCAATGAACATCAAACCTGTTTGTTTAGGTAGATTATGCAGGTAAAAACTGTATCTAATTAGATTTCCTAAAAGGTGCCTCATGTTAATGTGTTTAGTTCACATTTTAGTTACACTGCTAATCTGTGAAACATTATCCATTTATAATTTGTTGAAAAATACAGCATCTAGCAGAACTTGAACATTTTTGCATTTAAACCCAAAGTGTCAGTGTATTTTATTGAGATATCACAATCGACTAACTCAAAGTAGTGCATTACTGTAAAGTTAAATGGGGTATGATACCTGCACCTTTTAAAATATTTTGCAAATAATATCCTGAGAGCATAGCGTAATATTTAATTCAACCTCCTGAACCAACAATTTGTATGACTACCTTTCTTTGCAAATAAAGCTGCAAAAAAATTTTTATTGTTTGAAGTAATTTTTTGCTAGGGATCATCAAAAGTCTTTTACAGCCTCCAACATGTTCTCTTCCATTATTGCTATTTTTCAGCTCAATCCATCTTCCTATGAACTCTACCCACCTTCCCTGTTATTGCTGATAAAAAGCATCAACACAGCATGATGCCGCAACTACTTAGTGTTGCTCTATCACTTAAAGTCTCAATAAAATACACTGATGTTTTTGATTGTGATGTGATTAAATATGATGATGTCAAAGGGGTATGAACATTTTTTTGCCACAGTCTGTACTTCAGAACTTAGCAAAGAGCAGAGATGCACAAACTCCTGCACTTGCATTCCAACATCTGGTTTTCTTTAAAGTCTGACCTGACAAAAAAAGGTTTCATCTGAGGTTTCTGCTGCAAAGTAATACACAAATATATATATATATATATA